AAACCCTAAACCCTAAACCCTAAACCCTAAACCCTAAACCCTACCTGGAGCGCGTGTGCGCTGGCGTGGGACAGAAAAGCAGCAGCAACCCTAAACCCCAAACCCTAAACCCTAAACCCTAAACCCTAAACCCCAAACCCTAAACCCCAAACCCCAAACCCTAAACCCTAAACCCTAAACCCTAAACCCTAAACCCTACCTGGAGCGCGTGTGCGCTGGCGTGGGACAGAAAAGCAGCAGCAACCCTAAACCCCAAACCCTAAACCCTAAAAACCTAAACCCTAAACCCTAAACCCCAAACCCTAAACCCCAAACCCCAAACCCCAAACCCTAAACCCTAAACCCTAAACCCTAAACCCTAAACCCTACCTGGAGGGCGTGTGCGCTGGCGTGGGACAGAAAAGCAGCAGCAAGACACAGAGCTGTCAAGGGGCTGCTGGGGGCCCCCAAAAGGGCCCTCGAGTATTCTGCTGCAGCAAATCTGGAGCGGAGAGAAAGGAGACAAAAGTGGCCCCCCAGGAGACACAAAGACACACTTGTGGGGCGCAGCAGCAGCTGCCGAATCACCCACGACCTGCAGCAGCAGCAGCAGCAGCAGCAGCAGCAGCAGCAGTAGCAGCGCAGCAGCAGCAGCAGTAGCAGCAGCAGCAGCAGCAGTAGCAGCAGTAGCAGCAGCAGCGCAGCAGCAGCAGCAGTAGCAGCAGCAGCAATAAGTGATTAATTAAGTATTAATTAAGTGTTAATTACTTGCTTTTTGTTTTTAATTAATCAGCAGCAAACAGCAGCAGCAAAACAGAAAGAGTTTCGCGTGAATAAAAGGAAATGGATTTTAAAATAAAAAAAGAAAAAGAATTAAAAAATTAAATTAAAATAAATTAAATAATTAATTAAAAATTAAAAATATTTCTTGCCGGTTCTCCAGCATCATTTCCTTATCCCTCCAGCTGCCGCTCCACCCGCTGCTGCTGCTGCTGCTGCTGCTGCTGCTGCTGCTGCTGCTGCTGCTGCTGCTGCTGCAGGGGGCCCCCTGCATAAACAGCAGCCGCCCGTAGGCCCCCAAAAGGGCCCCCGGGGGGGGCCCCCTCCGCAGCCGCCGCTGCAGCAGCCGGCGGAGGGTACTGAGGGCCAGTCTGTGGAGGCCCCCCTCCAGACTCAGTTCTGCAGCAAACCCTAAACCCTAAACCCTAAACCCTAAACCCTAAACCCTAAAATCCACCCCGAGGCCCCAAAACGCGACCCCGGAACCCCGAACGCGAGCCGCAAACCCTAAACCCTAAACCCTAAACCCTAAACCCTAAACTTAAACCCCAAAACGCGACCCCGGAACCCCGAACGCGAGCCGCAAACCCTAAACCCTAAACCCTAAACCCTAAACCCTAGGCCTACTCAAAGTGGCGAGCTGCAGCTTTTCTTTAAGTTGTTTCTTTTCCTGGGGGGCCCCCCAGTGCCTTTTTTGCCTCCAGTCTCTTTGGGCCCCCTCCAAAACCCTAACAGCTTCTGGCCAGCGGCGGAGGGCCCCCAGCAGTTCCGCCCCGGCGCAGAGAAACTCGCAGTAGCCCTCGAGGCCTAAACCACAAATTAGGGTTTAGGGTTTAGGGTTTAGGGTTTAGGGTTTGGGGCCTGGGGTCTAGCGCTTCGGCCCCAGGGCCTGCCGCTTGGGCGCCTCCGCACGCAGGCCCTCAGCGCGGCCCACGCAGCGCCCACAAATTAGGGTTTAGGGTTTAGGGTTTAGGGTTTAGGGTTTGGGGCCCCGGGGCTTGCCTGCAATATCTTCGATTCCCTGCAACTCCAAGTCCTTTTTGACAGTATTATATTTTATTCTTTTTGTCCCTTTTTCTCTCTTCCCTTCTAAACCCCGACTCATCACCAAAACTCCTTTCCTCCCAACTCCAACCCCTAAACCCTCATCTTCGGGGGCCCCTGGGGGCCCCCCCTCGGGGGCCCCCGGGGGGACCCCCTCGGGGGCCCCTGGGGGGCCCCCTTCGCAAGCTCCTGGGGGGCCCCCCTCGGGGGCCCCCTCGGGGCCCCCCTCGGGGGCTCCCGCTGGGTCCTCACCAGCGGGGGGCCCCCTAGGGGAGTCTGCGGGGGTGAACCCTTCGGGGGCCCCCTGGGGGCCCCCCTGGGTTCCCCCCTGGGGGGCCCCCTGGGGGCCCCCCTGGGGGGCCCCCTGGGGGGCCCCCTGGGGGGCCCCCTGGGGGGCCCCCTGGGGGGCCCCCTGGGGGGCCCCCTGGGGGTCTTTTTGTGGGGATTTGTGGGGAGTTGGGTCTTTAGGAGAGTTGTTTGGATGTTTAATTTTTTGTGCTGCTTTGACTCTTCTTTCTTGAGCTTCTTTGCTGACTCTTCGAATATCTAATTCGCATTCTGTTACAAGAGACAAGAAGCGAGCTGCCAGGGCCCCGTCTTCTGCTGCTGCTGCTGCTGCTGCTGCTGCTGCTGCTGCTGCTGCTGCTGCTGCGTGTCGCTTTTTGAAAGCTTCTTTTAGCTGCTCGTACTGCAGCGC